GNNAAGGTCAAGTCCCTTCATCACTCTGGTTGAGATGAGGCAATCCATCCATATAATCATAGTACTATGAGATAAGTCATAGTACTAAATCAGTGTGATTATTATCTGATAGCTGAGTGCTGCTACCGTATTAAAGCGCGATAAAGAGGCGCGCGCATCGGGGGAGAACCATATCCACCATACGAATCATTTATTTGGCGACCATGGGACGAGTTGTAGCGCATTCACGGAAGAGTGCGCTGGTTGCTGAGCAGGACTTCGAAAGCACTCCGCCCCCAAAAGCGATCCGCCCCTTTACTTGGTGATTTGGACGAGCTGCGTTGCCAGCAGCGGTACAACTGACGCAGTTCGATTGGAGTGTGGTTTGGCATGGTGCCACCAAAGACACTGAGGTGAAATGATATCATACATTCGCTTTCCGAGCTGGTACCGGTTCATGAGTGAAAACCAACGGCTACAAAAGGGGTCCCGTTCTGTATTTTCTTGGTGGATTTCTCCGCTTTTTTCGCCACTGGCATACCATTGAGCACCCACCGCGTCTCTCTGAACCCTTTTTGAACTATCGTAATCACTACTTAAAAATCATTAAACTTCAGTGTCAACGATTGTTCGGCAAAGTATGAGCGTTTTGCTGTAGATCAGATTACTATCTATAGAACCACCATAGGCCAAGCAAAGAGAATCGAATGCAATCATTCTGGACAAGTACGGCGCGTTTATGTGACCAAGCTCAATATGTGGATAGGATTTGCAGGGTTGAGACTTCTTGAAGAGCAAATGCTATCTGGCTTGTGCTCACTTTGACAAGGAAAGCCGTTGTAGCGCTCCCAGCTAGTCACAAAGCTCCCAATCACTTGGCAAGGTGGTGCACGGCACTTCCAACGACTGTCATCACTTCAGCGAGTGGTCCGATCAGGCTTTCACGATACGGAATTCTATGGATTACACGTCGCATCGATTCTGGAGGCAAACGTAGGCACAAAACCTTACAGTTCTTTCGATTCTCCGAATGAATATCTCCACAATACGTGAGACGAACCAACGCACTAAACTTGCAGCCACCGTCAATGCTTCCTTGGTGTTTCTCAAGGCCTGTGTGTGTGAAAAAAATGTTTCAAATGTCAATCGGCCGGAAGTTCTTGATATTCGCTAAATGTTGCTGCTTCATGCGTGAACAATTTAACAAACCATTTTTCCCAAAACTGTGTAGCATTTATAATACATCCTCAGGCGACCTCTAAAAGTTGTCCCCATTATTTCGGCGCACCCTGTGGATCCAATAACGAACCGGCACATTTCCGATTATCTCAGAGGGGCAACGTCGAATTTCGAAAAGGCATCTTCCTGGGTGGGATATGTGTTAGTAGCGCGATAACTCCACAAGCGGTAGGACTATGCCTTCTTAGCAACTCTAGAAAGCTCCACGAGGATGATCAGGGCTTTGCCACTTGCTGCTTTGTGCTACGCCAGCAGTACTGAGGAAACACAGCGCGCTGATGGGAGAGAGCACGCCACGATAGAGTGCATTGATACAAGGACACTGCATGAGCAAAAGTAGGGTCCCTCAGGACCCCTAATCGGTAACATTGGCAAGAAAATAGCGCTCTTATCACGGCCGCGTGAACTACGCCGGTGTGCTGGTTGTTCTACCCTACCCCACAAAAGTTAACAGACACACATTTACGATTGAATTGGTGTGGTATTTTGCTTGTAAATAAATTAGGATACGAAGTTATAAGAAAGACGTATAGTCGGAAAAAGCACCATAGAAAACACTGAAATTTTTTTTTGTCAGGTCGACCGTAGTACGATGGAGAGACACAGCGCTGCGAGAGAGGGAAAACGCGAGAGAGCACGTCGTACGCGAGGTTCCAGACGTCACGCATGCTACTTGATAAGAATTGCAACATTTACATTGGTAAAATTAACGCATTAGCATTTTTGCCGCGCACATTCAATTCGCGGCAGAACCACCATCCTTGTCAACAGGTGCTGCTACCTCACTCAAAAGAGAGGTTTCTCGTGGATCTAATCGAGACTCGTGACTTTAAATTCACGGCCCCTCAAGGATATTCTGAAGTAAAAATCTTCATAGCAATAAAAGAATTACGTTTCGAAACGAGAAACCTCACTCTTGGCATACATAGCAGCCGCAGACAGAATGGAAGACATCATATAAAGCCACGAGTCAGGATTAGGTGACCATAGAAGGCCTTTCCATCACTAATATTTCCAGGAATGCGCTCAGAGGGGTGATGCCACACTCCTGACTCGAGATTGCGCGCCGTCAAGGCCTCTGGCCTACTACTTACAGCGATGGGTTCGTTTCATCAGCTGGTCCCGCCCACCGCGGGATGTGGTGCGTGGCTGGCCTAACGTGTGAGATCAGCTAGGTTGATTGCCGTATCAACCGATGGAACGGCTGGCATATCCGGAAAACTCGTTTGGACGTGGCTCTCCCCGAGCAAGCCTCCTTCACTGCTAGAAGGGAAGGGGTTTCGATTTCGGTCTTGTCGACGGTTTCTTTGCGTTTTTTCTTCACTGTCGTTCCACCTCCCATCTCTACACTCAATTTCAGGCGCCATAATGCCCAAACACGAGCCTGACTTTTGCCTTTAAGTTTGTGTCTACGCAGAAGATGTTTAATTACATAAGGAAAGCCAAAATTAATCCTCCATTTCCATCTCGCTTTCTGTTCACCATGTGGTAGGGTACGATGCCTTCTTCCTATTGAAACAAAAAATCACGCAGTTCTCAGACTCAGCGAAATGACTACATCACGTACGTCAGTTCCAAAATAGAACTCTCCAGGGATTCTGGCACGCTATGTCTAGCGGCAGTTCAACGTAACAGAGGTGCTCTTATGCTTATGGGCAACACTTTTTTTCAGTGAGTTCAAGCCAGTTCAGAGTTCGCCATCTCTGAGCTGGACTTGATGGAAAATGTGGAGATTGAAAGGTTTACCATCAAGACACGTTCTGAACCGTTTCTCATGGTTTCTCCTTCTGTCTTTTACCACTCACCATCCCTAACTTAATTCAAAACCAGTTTTGCTCCGCCCGCTCTCGCGCATCAACGTAGACTCCGTTGAAGCTGAGCATAGCCGGTGGTATTGTACTGATCATGAGTAACATAATGCTTTCAACGGATTTGACTAGTGGTATTAAGGAAATCACAGATGATAAAGCAGTACAGAGTTCTTCAATACCAATAAACATCCATCATTTTTCTGGGACTAACAAAGTCTAGCAGCCGAATGACCTTTGGATAACTAATACAATTACTTGGGCTGCTTATTATCAGCCCTCAGCGTAAACATCTACCATGCTTGGATATTGGGATAGTTTAGCGGTCGAATAACTTCTTATGCCGGTGATAGATAGAAACACCAATAGTTTATCATATTTCCACAGACGCCGACCATTTAAGAAGCTGAGGCAGATCGAATGGATCACGACGACATCGCGAAGAAATTGATATGTTTTCTATCCAACATCTGGATAAGAACTTCAGTGACATCTGCCTTCCAACGCTCCTTATCAGCCCCTATCAGCCGTTATCACTTTCTGGTCCCCATCAAATATGTTCCCGTCCCACCCCTATATCATATCTGCAAAACAACGCCTCATGCTGCTGGGCCTTGCGCTGTCATTGTCGTGACATTTTCCTTCCAACGCTTCTTATCAGCCCCTATCAGCTGTTATCACTTTCTGGTCCCCATCAAATATGTTCCCGTCCCACCCCTATCATATTCTGAAATCAAATCCAGGTGACTGCTGGTGCGCCCGCTACAATTCTGCCTTTAAACAAAAATTCTCCGAAAAGCTATTTTCGATCATTGCCTCCGAAGAACTTTTACAGTTTACCTAGTATTTCTGGATTCCTGTGCAGTTCGTTTGTTCCATCAAGTTACTATAAGTTTTTGACGACATAATATCTTTGTCCTCGTAATTTTGGCCCACCCTGTATCGTTGAGGAAGCGAGGGGAGGAAGACGGGGGAGGGGGCAAGCGAATGCTTCTACTCGAGTTTGTCTCTCTTTTCTCTTAATATCTCTTTCGCCAGCTAAGCGAACATCAAACACTTTTTTGAATGCACAACAACACATTTCGCTAAGACAGATGAAATGTCCTGAGGAAATTATTATAACATATGGGTTGCAGGAGAAAAACGCCGGCGGAAGTGGCAAGCTCTCAATGAACTTCACTTCTCGGAGGAAGATCAGCGCCAAACGGTAATTCAATACTTTCTTTACACAATGTATTTAAACTATGTGATTGATCGGCAAAAAACACTTCTCCGTCCGTCACCCATGTCATTATTTCTCGTCATCCCCAATGCTGCACCCGTCACAACTTCGTCGCGATGAGTACAGGTCGTTCAAGTTCATAAGTCTCATGCTATAGAGAAAATCTCCTATCTTTAGCCTGAAACTTTCACCTTCTTCCTTTCCAAAATTGCAGAACATTTCAGACGTGAGTCGCGACGGTGGCGGGATCCTCTGGAAAAGGCGCTTCGACCAGAAAACATACTACTCAAGGAAACTAACACAAGCGAAGCGAAGACGGCTGACGTATGTAAATGATTTGGTTTTTTGGAGATATTTAAAAGAAAAGAAAAATAGACAAACAGACTCAGCCTACCTGGTTTCTGGACATTTTGCCGTACTTTTTGGCATTTTTGTTCCTTTTTATTCAATTTTTCCGCGTGTGGCGGAAGTTATGCAACGGTAAACTGCGACACTTTCTATGCTCAGGGATGAAATCTTGAAATTTCGCCCGAGCCAATCAAGCCTTCCCCACCCCCTTCCGCGGTTAGACGAGAAAGGCTCATTGGAAATAAGGGTGGAGGTGCCGGTGGATCAGAGATGGAGAAGAAACCATGTGCAATGGACCGAAACCTCAAGAAATGGGGTCCCTTCCTTGCCTGTTAATTTCCGCTCGTTGTGCCCTCTTCAACAATACGCTCTCTGCTGCTGTCTAATCATTCGCTGTTTATAGCCCTTCAGCGAGTAAATACAGGGTGGCGAAAAATTACGTGCGCCACGGAAAATATCCTGACTTTTTTTTTGTTCATAGACAAAGAAAGACAACATTGTTGTGACTCTGCTTCTAGAGCACCAGAGCTTTTTTGAAGACCTCTTCATGATATATCTTCGCATTGATTTCCATGATTTTATCGATAAAAATCAATAGGGTTTCTCAAAGCACTGATGCTGCTCCAAATCATCAAACTTTCAGCGAAACGGAATTCTTGCAGGTATTTCCGATTACAAATCTTCCCAAGAGCTGAGCAAAAAAGCTGAAGGTGATTTAGGGAGTTTTTAGCTGCTTAAATGGGAGAATTTTTTCGTCAAACCAGAGGGCTCTCCAGCTTCGCCGCACCATCGACTCGATGTCGAAACTAATTCAGATCTATATCAAAACTGACAGCGGCCACTTCGATACTTTTTTATAATTATTGAATGTTAGAGTTTGCTGTTTTATAAAATTGATTTCCTTCGAATCTTTATGGACGAAAAATGAGGCTACATGTTTTTTATGGCGCACGTAAATCTGTATAGTCCGTGGGCGTTCCGCTCCAAGTGTGCTTGTTTCTCCACTAGGTGAATTTCTCCTTCTCCGACCTTCGTTTTTATCGTGGAATCCTCCTTTAAAGCAACAGTTGAACAGGGTTTTTACCTTTAACACTAACGATGTGGAACGATGCGCTAGCCCTAGTCAAGAACAAAAGAAGATGTGATTATGAACAAAAACTCACCTGGAAAGCTGCTAAAGGGAGCGCTGAACCTCTTCGATTGGCGTGGTTGCTCAGCCTTCTGCAATCCTTCGGCCGACTTCCGAAGTTGGGTTTTTTCTTCAGTCACACTTCTTAGGCCTCGTTGACTGGACTAGCGTATTTCCATTTGTGACGAAGGTAAAAGCCCTACTGGGACTGCGTTCCTTGACAATAATAAAAGGATAAAGGATAAAGCATTTGCCGTTGATCAATCCCTTTTTGGGATGCGGCACGCATTCTACTTCCATTTGTACATTCGCAGTGGCGTTTGAATGCGATGTGGCCTATACAATGACTTGCGGGGGCCAGCCGATGTACAAGTCAGTGTTTTTATCCTCCCAGACAAGTCTGGTACCAATTAACCGACCCCGGAGGGATGGAAGGCTTGGTTGGCCCGGGCGACTCACGACCCAGGATTTGATCCCGGACCGCTCGCGTGGTAAGCGCGCCACTTGTCACTACACCACTTCCGCCTGATACAAGCTACGTGTTCTGATTGAATGAGCCCTCTTCCTGAGATTATTATCTGGTCTTGGTTTACCCCCAACAAGCGCGAGCTTATTTTATTTTGTAAGATCAAATGAAATGTTAAATGTGGAACTAAAATTCTATCAGTTTTTAGAGTGGTCCTTTCCGCCTCCACTTACATAGGCAAACCACTTTATTTCGCCATTCCTAGGAGCTCCCTCAGTGGGGCTGGGCGTGACAGAACCAGTCTAATTTGTTGGGGTTAAAAGAAAGAATTGAGGAACAAATGGTACCGACCAGTGGACCTTATATGTTCACAAATAAACACAGTCCGAAAGCAGAAAGTTGTGATGAAGGACCACCTTTTATTTATTATTATTATTATTTTATTATTATTATTATTATTATTATTATTATTATTATTATTATTATTATTATTATTATTATTATTATTATTATTATTATTATTATTATTATTATTATTATTATTATTATTATTATTATTATTATTATTATTATTATTATTATTATTATTATTATTATTATTATTATTATTATTATTATTATTATTATTATTATTATTATTATTATTATTATTATTATTATTATTATTATTATTATTATTATTATTATTATTATTATTATTATTATTATTATTATTATTATTATTATTATTATTATTATTATTATATTATTATTATTTATTATTATTATTATTAACTTAGTATACATTATGGTTATACGAAGAGAGATTAACCATAAGAAAAGTATAACTTTCCAAAATGAGCGCATTATATGTCAGTACTAAAGTTTAAAGGAAGCGATTACGATAAGGAATTTTCGCATCGGGGGAGAACCTGCGCCACACGGAGCAATTACTTGGCTGCCAAGGAAGCGATGTGTGGCGCTTCCCACGCGAAAGGTGCTGTGGTTGCTGAGCAGGACCTCCGCAGCACTCCGCCTCCAGCAGCGTTACGCCCACTTGTTCAGATGATGACTTGGGCGAGCCTGTCTGCTGTTGGCATTCCATTTTGGGGATCATTTCCCTTTTATCGGCTGTATCTTTCCAACTGTCATGTGAATCCCTTAATAATCTCAAAACATATGATGATTGGCGACTAAGGTGCTATCGGGATTGACACGTCCAACCTCTTCTTTCTTTGTCGCCGCTCATCCATGATCGAAAATGAACGGGAATTTAGGGAGGTAAAAATGTACTTCGAGGAGGCCACACATATCATTATCGAGTCAAGGTGGCAATATCCAACCAAAAGTGGGTTTGCAAAGGACGGTCATATCTAATCAACAACCAGAGGCTCTGAGTGAACAATCGCACGAAGTTTGATGAAAGTAGAGTGTAAGCAGGGTAGCCAGCCTTTTCGACAATAGAGTAATATGGCATGACCGGTGTCCAACAGTGTTGACGTATCCTGGTCAGCCACGTGTCTCAGCAGAGATATAGCACCGCTCCAACTCTGCTTTGATGAGATATGAGTATCTTTCGCGTCACATTCTAGATTAGTAGTGTGCCCTCCCAAGCTACATTTCCACTCTAAGGATACTACTTTGCGTAATTGAAGATTTTCGTCTGCATTTGGCCATTGGGTACTACTGAGACACCTCGGTCGTCCGCACTGAACCCCTATCAGATCTATCGTAATCGTTGCCTTTAAAAAAGGTAAATAAGAACCAAAGTTTTGATAATATTAAAAGGGATTCAAAAATAGAGCCAAAATACCGCGATTTCCATAAAAACTTTGACTTTTTATTCCGGTCAACTGAATGAAGTCAAGATTCTGATATGCGTTTGCACTTTTCAGCGCGCTGTATTACCAAAGTTAAAGTCATTGTTCCTTCACATGAATCTCACGTGACGTCAGCTTGTTCAAGAACCAATGAAGTCGGATGTTTTCAGGCCTTGTTATACTGGAAGGGCCATCGAACAGTGTGGAATTGAGAATGAAATTGCTACCTTTTTGAAGAAGAAATTTGACGAGAAGCATGGTGAGATCATTGTCGAACCATTACTTAGACTGAACCTTGGACTGCATAATTATTTAAGTCCGAATTTATACCTGAACCACATTCAAAAACCTTGGGGGGAGGGATTGCCGGAATCACGGCTTGAAATATGCGCAAAGACCCTAGGGCAGGTTGTCCGTGAATCCAGAGTCAACGCGCCCTTGCGCAAACGAACAATGAGAGCGGTTTAACGCCAAGGAACACATTCACAAAATTAGAAGCTGCCATGGCGTGGCTATTACTGGCAAAGGAGGACAGACTTCCAACCTGCCACTGCGACTACACCCACACAGACGATTGAATGGCGCATCCTAGAGCGAGATTTCTTACTAAAATACGTCATGTTCCGAGCAGTGAGCACGAGCGAAAAAATCTTCCAGAAAAACTTCCATGCTTTAGAACAAATCAAAGTGGAAAGTGCAGCGAATTCAGCTGATTGACCTCTGGAGTGGCCATTAGAAATCTCTGGCAGGAGAAAGGTTTCCCCTTCAAGATAATTCTAGCATCTGCCAATATAGTACTGATCTTGCTGATTTCAGTGGTCTTTACCGCTTCTCAATGTACCGACTTTGAAGAAACTTATGGCCATTTGAAGGTTGAAAACTCGCGTTTCAGGAGAATGGCCCAAAAAAACCATTGAGGGAAAAACGGAACAACGGGACGATTTTTCGAAAAAAGTGGTCATTTAGAAAAATCTTAACATTTTTCAGAAGGGTCGTTCTTCCAGTTCCCATCTAGCCTTGAAAACTGCAAAAAGTTGATAATGAAGGAAGTAATGAACTTTTGAATGATGAAAACTCGCGTGTGCACAAAAAACGGAACAAGGGACGATTTTTTGAAAACTGAACACTTGCAACAGTTTGAAAACTTTTTAGAAAGGGAACAATTTGAAGTTTAAACTTCATATCCCATCTCATGATACCGCTTTTGAAGAAAGATATAACCTTTCTGAATAAATCATGTTCCTTTCTCACAGTATATGAAGCTTCCAAGCTAGGAACATTCTCCCGAGAAACAGGACCCTATTTGGCTCCTTTATTTCTGCAATGGAGCCGATCTCATCGGTGCTGACGTCATCAGTGCGAGAGCTCTTTGCGTCTTGCTGAAGCCGTAAGGTCCGGGGACAGAGTCCGATGGAAATGGGTTCGCCAATCGCTGTGTGGGCCGGCGCAGATGACTTCTGCGAGGAGGAGTGGTTCGCTAGGACAGAAAGCGACTTTTCCGCATTTCGCGCGCGGAACTTTTTCGCTGCGGAAACTACAGGTCCACCACTGAGTAGATGTCGGTCAGACTCGGCGATTGCATCGCGATGGACAAGCGATGGAGCGATCGCGTCGCTCCAGTCACTGGTCCATCGCGATGCAATCGCCGAGTCTGACCGACATCTTAGGAGCGGACCTGGGGTTCTCGCAACGGAAAATGTTTCGCGCTGCTAAAAGCGGAAAAGTCGCTTTCTGTCCTAGCGAACACCTGCGAGGCCGCCACGAACAACCCTTCGCTACAAAACGCGCATCGTCCCTTATCCTTAGGCGCCTGTCTGTCTTTCGAAAGGGCGCATTTTCCCTTCTTCGGCCTCGTATCTTATCGAGGGATCCTCTTTAAGCTGAAGATGCGCGGCCTTCATTCAAGCTTAGGGGCCGCTTCCTGTAACTTCGTCCGGCGATTTTGAATACATGTTCTTACCAGTGCTGTTTAGGAGGTCCATGGCAATGTATCGTCGGCAGAAACTTCGGTATGCATTTGGAATGCGTAGAATTCATCCACATGTACATAAGTAAGATCTCCATTTTATTATTTCGATGCTAAATAAATTGGCCGTTTTGATACTAGGCATTATATTCAGACATTCGAAAATTGTGCTCACAATCTACACGCTTATTTATTTACTTGATTCACAATGTATATATTACATATTACATATAACAGCAGTAAGCAAATACGATTCGATTTGGTAGCGGGCCGTACTCTCGTCGGAGATGAATAACGTCATGAACATGGTGCACTCCAAAGAAAATCATCGCTCACGCACTAGTCAGTCCCGAAAAATGCACAACTCTTCCGGCGGGAGTAATCGGCCACGCTTGCAGTGAGGCACAGAGAAGATGTGAACACAGAGTCGAAGGACCGGTCAGTTTTCCTGAAAAGCTCGTCGAGACTGCTATAATTAGCAAAGACTATAGAATTTGACGAACAAAAGGCACTTGCTAACAGAGACATAGCATATTATGCGGGGTCAAGTAGAAACTTGATTCACCGTAGGGGAACGTTGCCGGAAAGGGTGACTCATGAAAAATAAAACAGTCAAATATACAACTGTAGAGCATGGCAACGGGACAACAATATTAGATCACAGATTCACACACCACGTCAGAAGAATCACGAACACTGTGGGTGAGGTCAAGTCGTTAGTGGTAAAACAATTAAGACTGAAGCTCGAGAAAGACGCCGAGGATTTCAAGAGCGAAAACTAGGTATATACGGCTAGCAATATGTAACTACGAGTGGGTTGTTATGACTTCTTTTCCGGTACCGCGTACGAAAATAACTCGGTTGACCTTGTCCGATAACACTTCCAGATAATGAATGTAGTCGTCGAGTCCTGAAGGCTAATAATCAATTCTGGAATCTCATGAGTTAACGCACGTCTCAATGAAAGACCGTGAAAGAAACTGCTACCACGTTCATGAAACAATTTGAATCTCAAGTCTAGAGCTTCGCTCTTTCCTTTGAAATCAGAATTTATGATCGAGATATCCAAACCACAATATCTTCACAAACATATAGACGCACCTTCTTTCCCTCTCGGTGGTTTTGGCAAATTCAAAAGGACAAGCTGACTGTTGAGAGAATGCTCGATGATCAGCTCATTCAGCCGAACAGCAGTGTGCATTTTGTGCACCTGAAAAAAAAGTGTAAAACTGGGTTGTGATCGCCTATCAGAATCTTAAGCAGTTACTCCTCCTAAGGCCCAATTCCTCACCTTTGTTCGGTCCAACGCTAGTAATTTTTCCTTCATTGATTTTCCTTCTTCTGGTCATCATTGTTGGACTCTTCATCCGGCGACTTTTCTGGAAATGAGGTGTACTAATTAATTCGACATCTTCGATTATTTGCACATCCGATTCCTACATAGTTACGTAGCGCTAGGAACATTCCATAGTATTACGCAAAGAGTACATGAAAATGAAAAAGAGACTGG